TTAGACTGTGAGTACTCACCCTTAACTTGGCATAGGTATTTATAAAATGGGAAAAAAGCCAAATTCCAGGAAAACAATTTATTCTGTTCCATCCCTAAACTTTTACTCATTCATCTGTTATGCTTAAAAATCAATTAGCACTGTGCATACACTGTATCAACAGCTTTATTTAGGATTAACTACAGAGCTGGGCAAATTTAACTGCAATTTTCCCACCAATGATGCTCTAAAAACACGCATGGATTTCAGAGGCTAATGAAGAACTCTTCTCGCAGTGCCATATTTTTAAAGTTCTTGGGCTTTTACTTTATCTTTCTGTCTTCTGCTGTCTGCCTCCCACCTGCCCTCTCTCCCATCAGTACCAGTAGGATATCATACTTCAAGTTGATTCTTTTGAACTTTCTCTGTTTAAAAAAGATTATTAGGAAATAATTATAGATTCAGAGGAAGTTGAAAAGAAATAGAGAGGGAAGTCCCATGTACCCCTGACTCAGCTTCTCCCAATATTAACATCTTGTAAAAGTATTGTTTAATATTAAAAATAGAAAACTGACGTTGGCACAATCCCATGGAACTTACTCAGATTTCGTTGGGATCGACTTTTTAACTAATAATTACATTTGGTAAGCATCAGTTATGATCACAATAAAGGCTGGAATTCAGTTCATGTGTGTGTATTTCAGTGTGGGTTTCTGTGTATCCATTTCTGTGGGGGCGGGGGAAGGACAAACTCTGGCCCTACCCATTTCATGCTCGACTGTTCCGAGGAACAATTGGGAGAATATCACGTAAATGCTGTTCATAAACTGTAAAGTACTAAATAAACAGAAAGTATTATATTGTAGTAGATTTCTAATCTTTCTGTTCAGGAAAAATCTCTCATTAGTAGTGTACACAGAGAGTAGATGGAGCCTACATCCTAAACAATTCCCTTCCTTCTTTAACATTTCATCAGATACAGGACTGCTCATCTCTGGATGAACTTAATTGTTCTCCACAAGGATGGAACCAGGACTGGAGCACAATGGGGTGTGAGCTGGATAGCACATTCCAGAGCTGGACCGGTCTCCTTCCATGTCTGTACACTATATTTTATTAATGCCCTGACACTCACATTAACATGTTTTTGTGGGTTTTTTCCCCAACTTCCCTCATATTCCTCTTGAAATCAACTGAAATTCCCAAGCTTTTTTTTTTTTTTTCCTCTCAGGTTTTGATGTTTAGCCATTCCTCCCTGATTTTGCACAGAGATAGTTGTTTTCTGGGCACAGGAGCAAGACTTCATGTAGATTCTCATTAAATCAGGCCTATTCTACCATTCTACTGAGATTTTTTTTATATGTATCTGGACTCTATCACTAAATTTATTTACTGTCTCTGCCAGCTCCACATTGGCTACACCCTTTACAAATGGTCCTTTAGTCCTTTCTTAAAATTGCTGAAGACATACTTGTGCATAGAAGGGTGAAAAGGAGATCATTAAAAAGCTATAAATCCGAACTGTAACATTTTGACCTTCTGTTAATGTTAAATTTTAATTAAGCACTCAGCTCTGTTTTTACTGAGGGTTGACATAAGAGATAGCCCTACACAAAAGGCCTATGTATTTTCTAGAAAACTGTATTAGGTGATTCGATGTCTCATTTGTAAGAATCCCATGGGAAATTTCTCTGGAGCTCAGGTTTAGAAAAAAAAATTTTTCCCTGCAATGATAGCTGAGCTGGTATGAGTTTCCTTCTGTTTTGTCTTCCAAGACACTAAGAGAGAAACTGAAAATCACTTGCTCAATTGCTGTACCTTTTCTTTATTTCTATTTATTGATTTTTCCTTCTTTCCATCATCCCACTTTATTACCTAACACGCCATGTTAATGGTTCTGTATATACATATTTTTTTTTTACCAGACATTATGACATATCCTTTCTAAAAGGAGGCAGGGAATAGAAACAAACATACATAATCAAGACATCTTTTCAAATATCTCTTCAGATGTTTAAAGATTCCACGGAATAATTTCTTCACTTTTTGAGTAGGACTTTAGGAAATGTTCCCCAGAGTACTTGTACTGAAGTAGTTTAGGTTTGCTTCAGCCCTTCAGATCACTTTTTTCTAAATTTTTTTTCTCAGTTTATAATGACATGTTCTCAAAATCTTCCACAGTAATTTCCCCAAATGGTACTTTAAGGTGTAAAGAGAAATAATTTGATCATTTCCTAATCTTTTCTCTTTTTTAGCTCTTCCATTAAAGGGTTATTGTTTTTTCTTTAATTAAGTACTTCTTTCTGACTGAAATTTATACTGAAAAGACTTCTGGATTGGGTGTTAGAAGCCCAGGGTTCTTGCCTGGGATTAACTACTCTTTGCACGGCCAGGAGAAACTCATGAAGTTTCTCGTCTATAGAATGAAAACTACCTCTTGATGAACATCTGTTCAATATTAGGCACTCTTAAAATGTATATAACTTACTTTTAAAAACTTTAAAATATGTAGTTTATAATATGTAGTTTGATTATATGGATGTGCAATATTTGAAACCCCAATTTTAGGAGCTTAAACCAGGTGGTCTGTAAGAATTATATCAGAAAGGCAATATTCTAGAGCTTGGCCACTATAAAAGCATTTATTATACTATTTCACTGAATAAATGATGCTTTGCTTATTAGCAAAAATATGTCAGAAATGGATTCAAAATTGGTGAAACTAGTGACTCATTAACTACCATGATAAGTGGAACTTAACTGGTAAAATTAAAAGTTTTAAATATACATGGAATATTAAAGACTTTTGGAGCCATTCCCCACCTTTGCACGAACAGGGTGCAAAAATCTTAAGGAGGCTCATAGCCCATACCATAGGATTAGTGGCCTAAGTTTGATATTTCCAACTGCCAGTTTAATAGGATTTCTTGTTGTCTGAGACTGAATGTAAGGGTAACAAAATCCTGGCCCTGGAATGTCATTTTATCTGCCTCAAGTGAACCTTTTTCCCCACGTAATGACTGAAACATCTGGATGGACAGAGAACTAGAATTTCTCTCTCTCCCTCTGCTCCTCCCCACTGTGTGTTCTCTCTTTCTCTCTCAAATAAATAAAATCTTAAAAAAAATAAAATAAAACAGTCCTGCATGTGTAGCAGAACTTGCCTTAAGATTTACTTTTAGCAAGGCTAGCATTAACTATCATAGGGCTACTGCTAACCCTCTTCAACCTTCTTCAGTAAACACACTTACTTATCAAAGGTGTGTGTCACCAAATTATCACAGGACAGTTCTTAAAAGACACTTTGCCTCATTTTAATCTTCATCAGAGCCCTTCGTTAACCACTCGCCTTATTCCAGCTAGGAAATTCAAGTGTAGAGGATGTTAGCTTATAATCATATGAATATTGAGTGATAGAGCCTGATGCATCTGATTCTACTCTCCAATACCCCCTGCAGCCACCCAGATAAAGTCACATGGTCATTGCAAGGAAAAGATGAGAGATTATGAAATGCCTACAGCTGTTTCCTTGCAAATACATGGGTTAAACAAAGGCTCTTTAGCTCCCTTGACAGATAGTTAAAAGTCAACCAACCACCCAGTAAATTGATTTCATTGACATTTATTGTTGCTATATGTATACTCACAATTCCTATTAATGTATTTTTGGCTCTTTTTTGTACTTTTCCTTTTTTTCAAAATCTATACTTTAGATCTTCCCAATATATTCAGATAAACTGTAGTAAATTCATACACTGAGGCACAGATTACTTTGTGACATAATTGCATGACCTAGCTCTACTGGAAAGTTGGACTCTGAAATGATCAGTTGAAACATGCCTTGAAACAGTCATAGTTACCTAAAGGTCAACAAGAAAGCTCATCTCAAGCATTGTTACATAGAAAGAAGTAAATGAAATGGTAATTTTAGAATTGGAATGCTGAAGTGATATAGAATATTCGTGGATTGATGATTTTAATGGCCATCAGAGATCAGCAGAGTTGAATAAGTAGTCTGGGGTTCTACAAAACTACTAGTCAGGCCAAAAATTAAAAAAAAAGGAATAAACAAAATACAAGATACAAATACACAAGAATTTACCCCCTAGTTACCAATATCACATTCCAGATGCATTTTATTTTGGATGTTGTGTTCTAAGCAGAGATCAACATGGTCACAAATAACCCAGATCTAGTTGATTAATTAAAATCTTAAGTTCTCAAGGAAAAGATCTTAGGTGAATACATAGGTAAACATTGATCTATTCTTATTTAAACTTCTGAAATTTATGCTTTTTGATTATTTTTGATGTAAGTAGAAGTTAGGGGGAGAAAATGATTCATTTCAGATAAAGTTATTTCTTTAGCAAGTCCTTATTACATGAGGAGGTAATGGCATCCGAAGAATACAAGGGAATGAAAAAAAAAGTATGTTCATACTTTTACTTTAAAATGTTATATATTTTAATCTACCTTAACTTCATGCCAAAAGGAAAATATATAGGATGAATACATAACATAACCAAACTTTTTTGGGGAAAGAGGCTAATATATTTTTATTATAGCTGTACATTAAGGAATTAGCTGGGCATTATCTTTTTCCATTAAAATCATCCTTCCTCTTTAATTAAAATAAAAAATACAGGGTGAGGAGTTCTATCTTTATTTTTTAAATGTGTGTATTTTTCTATAGTAATTTGAATAAAAAGTGCCTTGGAATTATTATGTTCTTCTAAACGTTAAATCCATTAGAGTATCATATGGGGGGAAAATTCTACTAGTTGGGATGATTTTGTGGGGTGGTTTTCTAACTAGTTCATACTTATCACCCCCAAACAGATGAAACGAGACACAAAAACTATAAAATGACTGCTTTTTGTAGGTTTATTGTCCATCAATGCTGAGGAAGCTGTTTAGACACAAAATTCTGATTTGTTCTAGGATTTCAACGTTGACTTTAGTAACAGCAGTGGGGGGAATGTGCTTAGGGGAGAAAAGCTCTGGTTATTTTATGAACATACCACTCCGTTCACTGATAGCAGCTGGTCTCCCCTTTTGAGGCCTCCGTGTCTTTCAGCCACCCCTCCAGGAATGATGCGAGAGATATAAATGGGGGAATTTTGCTCCTTTCCTCCCATCACGTTAAAACCAAGGCCTTCATCAGTCTTTGGCAGTTCGACTACCCGAGGGTGGGAGTGGCCTTCACTAGCTGCAAAAGCTGCAACTGTTGCCTGAAAGAAAAGATGGTCATTTGGTAATAAAATGAGGGAAATAAGGCTCGTCGTATGCTTTGCAGTGGGTAGGATCGGGCAACTCCTCTTATTTTTATAGCATTCTCCTGTGAAAAAAAGAACACAGTGGGGAGGGTGCTAGCTTCATTTAAATGTCATCTATGACTCCGTTCCTTGGCAAAGCCCTGCCTGGCTATTTCCGGCTTTCTAGAATTTATCCATTATGATACAAATTTCCCTTCTTCATAAAACTCTGTCCCGGTTACCTGAGGCAGCTGTAATTCCTCCTTTTCTTGGACTCCGAAATAGCTCTGGTCCACAGACTACATCCTTACGGTACATATGCTCTAACTATTCCATATATGTGTTGACCGTGAGCACCCGAAGGGCAGAGATGATGTAATTCGATTCTTTGTATGACACAGTCTACCCCGGTGCTTGCACATAAACGTTCATGAATATTTATCCAATGTACTTAGAAGCACTTATATGTATAAACTCTGGCGGATACGTATATAATCTTGCTACTGCCAGACCACTGGCTTCCCAAATTTAGTTTTTGGGTTTTTTTTTTTTTTTTTTTGACTGAGGATACCTAAAGGAAAATAAAAGCTAAAACAAGTAATAAATTCAAACAGATGATTATTATTTCCCATCAATATTTTGCATTATTATGAGAAGTCCTCTTATCTGGTAAGGATGTTTTCCCCTACATTTTACATTAATATTTCAACTCCTATAGCATCGTGGGCAAAATGAGCAGCCTATGGTTCTATACCTACGTGTACAAAATTTCATTTAATATGGACATCGTTTTAAGATTCATATATTAATTTTTAAAAATAAGTTGAAAACACAACTTACCATTAGTTCCCACCCCTCATGGAAAGAAAAGAACAGCATTGAAGTAGTTTCTATCAAGAAAAGATTCTCTGCCTGCTTCTTATTTTCCACTTCCATTAACCTGCCTTAACCACAGTTGATTAGATGCCTACCATAAAGTGATTTACTCAACACTGTGAAAATATTGATTGCCAACTACTGTACATTCTTTTCCACACACAACATTATCACATCAATTGAGCATTATGCTACTGTCTGCATTTAGTGAAATTTAGTGAATGATATGGAAATAATGGCTTGTTTTTAGCTACATGCATTTGCTCATGCAAACCTTGTCGTCATGCATAGATTTTAATGGCTGACATGGATGCAATGCAGACAGCCCAGAAACAACCAGAAAATATTGTGCTATTGCAACATTATGCTGCCATCCTGCTGTTCTACATGAATAAGAAATGAGAATGGTAAAACACTACATAATTCACTTTCCCCTTAATTAAACCATGTAGGGATCATTTTTCTGTGTGTGTTCCACTTCAGTACAAGCAAAGCATGATGTAATGATAATAACAACCTCCTTTTGCCTGGGTTAAAAAAAAACAAAACAAAACAACTTACAAATCTACAGTGTTCAGTTACAGAATGACAACTAAAAAATCAAGAGAGAAACCAAACGAGGTGATATAACACAAAAGAATTAAATGGAAAATGCTGATTATTTTCACCAGTTCTTGTTTCTTATACATTATTAGAAAGAGAAGAGCTTTTAACAAAGCAAGTCGTTGTGCATCTATTAGAACACTTCTGTGTTTGTAAAATGAGAACTACATAAGTGATCTTAGTTTAAAGTTTAAAACTATTATTTCCTAATGGTCTATTTTCCAGATAATTTCATGATCCCATCGTTATAAGATTTCTGTTAGTGTAAGATTTCCGTTAGATTTCTCTGCAATCTCTGGATTTGCGTCTTTAAAGAACGAATGTGGTAACTACTACAAAAGGTGACCGGCTTTCCCTTTAGGTCAATGTCACATTCTTTCAGCAAGCTACCCACTGCTCTGCTGAAGACAAGGAAGAATCCTGTGTCAGTGGGTCTCAGGTGAGTTCTCTTCATGTCTGACTCAAGTCAAATCTTTGGACTTGTGCAAATAAATCTTCATGCACTGAACAGGCAACAAGTTCTTTTGGATCAGAGGCCTGTATCAGAAAACCACGTATTATTTCATACAATGAACCAGTAGATTTGCTTGTGCCAAATGGACGTTTAGTGAGTTTAATGAAATCATTCTCCTTTCTTAAGCTACAGAAGCAGCAGAAACGTTCAATTTTCCATTAGGATTTTTACCTGGGAAGTAGTACTGGTTCTAGACTCTGGGCTGCCACTGATGTCTAAATTCTCTTACAGTGTACACACGAGAATACCTGAAACACACACGCGCACAGTCAATTACTAGATCACTGGGGTCAAATATATTTTCAAAGTTACTCAAGCCTTACCTTTGCTGTGGCCCTGGCACGGAATTCAGGACAGCCATTAACAGTTATCGTTTCATGCATATATTGATACACCTAGAACGTTCACATAAAAAAGAAAGGAATGCGTAAGAACATTAGGAATATCAATTCTTTCACTGCAGAAAGGATGAAATATTTTCACTGTAAAACACAAGTTCTCGGTCACAAGGTGAAATAGGTCTGGATAAATTATCCCGGTGATTAGGACCAAAGATCCCTCCTATTTTTTTTTGGTGGGGGACGGTTGCGGCAGAGAAGGCAAACACTTTTTTATTTGGGTATCCGTGTTCATCAAATATAAAAACTTGTATATTTGGTTTTATAAAAACTACTTTGTCAGTAAGATTTTTTACCACTTCATAAAGCTCTGTCTCTCAAATATGTGATAAAATTATATATATATATAATATATTATATATAACTTCCTGAATCTAAGTAACACTTTCTTTTTTTTTAAAGATTTTATTTATTTATTTGACATAGAGAGAGACAGAACCACCCTAAGTAACACTTTAGAAATAGTTTTCAGGGCGCCAGGGTGACTCAGTCAGTTGAGCATCCGACTCTTGGTTTCTGCTCAGGTCGTGATAGCAGGGAGATAGAGATAGAGCTCAACACAGAGTCGCTTGTCCCTCTCCCTTTGCTCCTCCCCTCTCCCCGCCCACTCTCTTTCTCTCAAATAAATAAATAAAATCTTTAAAAAATAGTTTCCTAAATTAATATTCCACAAAACTGGGATAACAATATCTTTTCCTTGCATGTTGTAAGGTATGTTACCATCCATGAGACATTCATAATTCATAAATATAGGAGATAAATGGTATTCAGGGGCAGGGACAAGTAAAGCATGAGATTCTTAGAACTAGTAACAGAGAGCAACATATCAGCTATGGGTTCATGTTAACATTTAAATGAAATAAAAAGAATAGAAGTAAAATCTGGACTCAGAATGATATTGTACAAAGCACACAGTTTTCGCTGACTAATGGACCAAAGTTTGAGACTTGCAGTCTAACTGGGGAACTACGAGGTCCTGGTTGAACCACTTTACCACTTTGACCCTCATTTTGCCCATCTGAGAAATGGGTGAAGAATATTTATTATGTTTTTTTACTTGAAATAATACTTTCAAGACCCCTGGCACTTAATGAGCTCTCCTTAAATATCAGGTATTATTATTAATTACGATTTTAGACAAAACTATGAAAATTGTTGGAATGTAGTAGAAAAAAATGCTTTCCTTCTAACTGTCAGGGATGGGATTATAAAATCTGTATATCAGTGCAAAATAAATTGCTTCATCATAAATAAACTTAAGTATAGAGAATAACTCTTAAAGGATAGTTTGAAGACGTTATTTATTTATTTATTTATTTTTAAGTATTTTATTTATTTACTTGACAGAGAGAGAGCAAGAGAGGGAACACAAGCAGGGGGAGTGGGAGAGGGAGAAGCAGGCTTCCTGCGGAGCAGGGAGCCCGATATGGGGCTCGATCCCAGGACCTTGGGATCATGACCTGAGCCGGAGGCAGACGCTTAACGACTGAGTCACCCAGGCACCCCTGAAGACAATATTTAGAAAAAAACTAACAAGGTTAAATATGTTAGACTTTATGCCCATTTTAAAGTTTTAAATAATAAATTGTAAAAATCAATTGTATGATGTGTAGAGGTAAAAGTCCATTTGGAATTTTGCTGGGGTATTTTTTTTTTTTTAAGATTTATTTATTTATTTGAGAGAGTGAGAATGAGAGAGAGAGAGAGTACATGAGAGGGGGGGAGGGTTAGAGGGAGAAGCAGGCTCCCCGCTGAGCAGGGAGCCCGATGCGGGACTCGATCCAGGGACTCCAAGATCATGACCTGAGCCGAAGGCAGT